TCACTAGCTCGATCTTACCTTACATTAATTAATTGGATGGGAAAAGTCAGGCTTGACGATTGTCAAGGAGGAGCGACCTCCAAACCTCATCAACAAATGCATTGTCATTAATAGCTTTTGAACAATTGTATAGTATATTCGAGTAATTACCTCTTACACGATTACATTTCGTCCAATGTAGTATTGTAAAATGTCGAAAATCGCGTGAGGGAAAAACGAAAAAACGAAGGGATTATAATCACGTCTCGTAATAATAACAAAATTAAAAATATCGATCAAAGCCCACTGAAGATAGGCATTTCACTCTCATAGCGTGAGATATAAACCACCCGACTCCCGAGGAGGAGATATGGTGGTGGTGGGAGGAGGGGAGGGAAGGAATTGTAGGTCATTGTAGGTAATTATTTTCACGGAATTAAACGTAAAGGTTAAAATTTATGTCGGCCTTTGGCGTTGATACAATATACAATCGTCGGTACTCAAGCTCGCCTCTGCCTGTCCACAGCAACGTCGACGGCGACGGCGATGGCGATGGCGACGTCAAAAGTGCCCGAGGTGGTGGTAGTAGCAGCAGCGTCGTCGTCGTAATCGACGGCAAACAGACTCCATCGAAGCGCCGTCTCGAGGAGCTGGAATCGGCCGTGGGGAAGAAGAGCCTGCAGGAGAAGGCCGAGTCGAGCAAGCGAGTCGATAAGCTCGAGGAGGTGGAGGAGCGTGCAAAACTCGAGCACGAGAAGCTCTACCGCCTCGAGCGATTGAACCAGTGCTCGACCGATCATTACGAGCGACTGGAGTTGGAGGTAACGAGCGAGCTGTGCTCGGAGGTGGCGCGGGCCGAGCTGGAGCGCACTCGGCTATTCGAGGCCCTCGCGGAGAGAATATGGGAGGGTCTGGTTAACGAGCTCTGCGAGGCCGTCCTCGACGAGCAGCTCTTCGTCCAGGACATGCTGATCGAGGTGGGCCGCAGGACCCGCGATCGGCTACTGCTCAAGTACAGCCGCTCCTGGAAGGAGTGGGCCGCGAAGCGGCGGGCCCAGCGGCGCGAGGCGCTCGACAATACGCCGGTCTGGCTGCAGCCTGAGAGCCTCGAGGACCGCGCGAAGAAGTTTTATCAGCCCCAGCAGCTTGCGGCGATCGTTCACGCGAGAGAGTCCAGGAGGCGGAGGGTCGAGCCGGCAGCCGCGACCCCGTCTACGAGACGCACGCCCATCGAGTACGTGGTGAGCGTCGGCCTCAATGAGAACGCCAAGTCCCTGAAGATCGAGCCCAGTCAGCACGCGTTCTGGAAGATGGTCATCTCGTGGCCGATCCTTGAGAACAGACTCACCATCTGGCGGCACAAGAAGCTCGTCAACAGGTCGGTGTACGGGTCCTCGGCAGGGACGATCGTGACACGCTCGTACGGTGCGCGTACGTAGGTAGTCGCGGACGACTCATCGGTGGCTAATTCAAGCTTCGCTCGTTGTGCGGTAGGTACCTGAGCCCGGCGGACAGCAGCCTCGAGCCGATCTTCATACGGCACAAGTCCAACAACCGGGAGCGGCTGGACATCTGTATCCGACACTTCGAGGGCCTCGTCTGCGAGAACTGTCTCACGGGCATGGACGGGCTGCTGCTGGTGGTGGCTGCCGACGAAGAGCCGCGCAACATCGAGCGCCGGCTTACCAAGGCCGTGCTATCCCGGGAGAAGCTGATGCCGATACCCCTGGTGATGGTCGTGTTCGGGGACACGGAACACGATCCGGGTGAGCTTGAGCTCGCTGGGACCGCGGCGCGGCTCCTCGAGTCCGGCCACCTCTCCCGGTATACGGTGCTGCGCGAGCGCAGCGTCGAGGAGGACGTCGTACTGAGGGTCGTGCAGAGCGCCACCCTCTGGCTGGCGATCAACAGGTCGGCCCAGGTGCCCCTCGAAATGGACTACCTTAAGAGGCTCTTCGACGACTGCTTCACCGAGGACTTGTGGATAAGGTAGGACGTGCGATACGATCGGATTGACTCGGGCTGAGCTAATGCTACCGGCTTCCGCCAGCCGCTCACGCGAGTGGATGAGCGGCGTCATGGCATTATGCACAAAGTTGAATTGTCCCTTGCGACTTTCGAGAACTACGTAGTCCTCCTCCCACCTCCGCCCACTCTACCATCCCACCCACATACATATTCCACAACCATCTAATCCTTCTTACGCCACGAATTTCTCGTCTGACTTTGGACTCTGCCATTGATTTTCAGAATTCACGGCCATCTGTCGCATAATCCGCAATTCGCGAAACCCTGGAACGATCCCAATTTCATCATCGGCCTGCACAACGAGGGCGTTAATCACATTATGGACATAATCATGGATCCGGAATCCATGATGTATACGGATTTCGCCCCGGAGCTGAAGATCTATCTAGACAATAAGACATCGTATCCCTGTACTTATGAATACTTCGACAACGTGTGGAAACATCCGGAATACAGGGCCGAGCTCGAGCGCATTATCAGCAGCTTTATTTTTCCTCCGTGGAAGTGAGTCGCTCGTATAGCGCGTCATTCCTAGATCTCGGCACATTATAGAGACAAATGAGCGAATGATAATGGTTAACGATCATACTATTATTAAATTGTTATTACGAGATTAAGTTTTTTCGATGCTTACAGAGAGAGAGAGAGAGAGAGAGAGAGAGAGAGAGAGAGAGAGAGAGTTTATACTTTCGTGCCAAATGTTTAATCAATCAAATTTATTAAGGCTCACCCAACAGTTCGTTACATTGGATTACGCATACAAGAATATTGTAATAAATGATATCTAGAGTGAGTTGAATTGGCGATGAAATTCAATCGTTCGTATAGATCTTACCATAAATACTTGACAATATTACATCAAATTGTCTCGAGATATCCGAAATTATTTCTGCACACTTTGAACAGACAATATTATTTTATCGATAAGGCTTCGACTAGAGCATTACAGCCATTACAGATAGCCATTATTATGAAATTGGTAAATGTTTACAATTATTATGTTAAAACGTCAAAGGCTCGTCATATCCACGCGTGCACTCGTGAAATCCAAAAAAAGAATTTTTGAATAAATCGCCTGCGTTGTTCAGACAGTCGAGTTTGCGCGCGACGTGAACTCATGGACCGTCGGCGAATCGTTATGAAAATTCACATTCCTCGGAGTTACGTAATGATCGAGTAACAACGAGCCGGATTATCTTTCAGGGATTCGTGGCCAGTTGAGGACATGGTGAGCCTACACG